TTGTAATTTCTTGGTATTTGTGTTCAATAAGTGGATGTTGTAAATTCTTGAGCGTTTCTGTCGGCGATGACCCGAGCTGGCTGGTGACCTTGAGCGTTTGGCTGACTTGGCTGATCGTATCAAGATCGAATGTTCGTTGACCAGGCACCGACCGGCGTCTTAAACCACCCGAGCCAGCAACGCGGCGGACGCGCTGATTTTTGTGTCAATGGATTCCTCCTACGCTCCGTTACCACCATCTTCATTTGTAATTACGGCGTTTTATGGTGGTGGTTGTCGGAAGTCATATTTTACACTGCCACGTTAAAGCGATACTCATTTCCGGATTAATTCGTTTATATGCCATCTTCCTACGCTACGCAGCCATAAGCTTTTTAATCCCTTATATTTTGAGTGTAATAATTACGAAGTTACCGTCATTAGTTAGCTGTATCGTTCGGCGGATTTTTCCCTCACATTTTGTGTTCTAAGTTTAAACATCGAAGAAATGCTGGAACATTCCGGACTAGAACGATTCCTACGACCAGCAGGAGCGTAGTGTGTCAACGATATTGCTTCATCTGACGTCTGTTCTGTTTTAGAAGTGATCGTTGGTCGCTGTGTTTGCAGTATGCCACGCGTCGCTCTCTCTCATCACGCGCTGTACTCTCTCGTGCTCACCCTCACCATCCCTATTTCTCCACTGTCCAACTGAAGCTGTTCCTGAATTATTGTGCCATCAGAATCCTTGGTGATAGGCTGGTCCGTTTCGTGCTCCCAGTGTTACCTTCGTTCCGTTCAAACAATTGGCCCGCTGTGAGGCTCCTCGGTCAGGGTCATCCCTGTTGCCTCTGCGTTCCTCTTCCTCACTCGCCTTACCATCCTTTAGGTAAACACGAACTGATTGACGACCGCTCGATCCAACCGACCCCATTCGTCCCCGTTCATGTCATAACTCTTATAAACTCGTTTCTTACGATATCACTTCTCAACCTATCTCATCTAAAGGGGTCGGCTCCCTATTTGCCATCACATTTCACGGCAAAGCAGTTTTGTAGCGATCGATACCATCTTTTTTGTTATGCGTTTGTTTGATCGTATCGTTTCTCTGGAAAACCACCCGAACATTATTTAATTTCAGGTCCCTTCGGCTCGATCTGACCCTCTGCTGCTTTCTGTCGTACGGAACCGGCCCGGAACAGCCCATCTATTCGTTAACGAGCAATGCACAACGGACACGAGTTTGAACAGAACGGACACCCCACCAATGGAACTGCTCTTCGTGAGTGCTGAAGAATTTTAATCATTGTGTAAATCGTGAGATTGTTGGCGCGATAACCCCTTGGCTGGTACTCATGACGCAGTGTTCGTTTTCGTTCAAGGATTGTCGGTGCCGCTTTTGAAGCGCATCAAATGGAATTGACTTCCAGACGTGTCTGCTGCTGTTACATGTTGCATCTGCCACTCAAAAGGAGTCGCATTGATTAGATAGCTTATCAGTGAAGGCATTGTGGCCCTTGCGCGGTATGTGAGTAGATAACAATATGCAGATGACGTCGTGTCAATTAGACTGCAAAGCGCACGCCAATTTAGACGTTAATTTTCGGTAGAAGGAGTATGGAAGTTACAAGGAAAGATTAGTTTCATGGAGAAGAATATTTAGTGGTAACATTGAAGGTATTTCCTCCTTCCGTGGTCAATGTCAGCCTTATCTGTTCCGTTGAATGACGATTTGACTAACCATGGCGCACTACTTGTTCAACCTTATCCAGTTGCGCCTCTCTCCCATAATGAGGAATGGGTCTTCCCAAGCCCGTGGCAGTCACTGAGAAGGGCTAGGCATTCTAGAAGGGCATTGGATGTATCGCAAAATCGAAATTGAGGAAAACTTGCTATCGGCTGTTGAACCGCAGTCTTAATATCGTAATACATGTGTGATGCAAGGACGTTCACGGTTTATGTGGCTGACGATCGCAACCTAAATCAATCACTTTACAACAGTCGAACGAACTGTAGCCTAGGCCGAAACCTGACCTATTCCATCATTCCGGAGAGAGGTTCTAACTGAAATTGATTGAAGTGGTTGTTATGCAATGTTAGGAGGATGCATCTTGATTTCAAAGCCTTACAGATGGAGAAACGTCGGCGGCTTCGGCTCCCGTTCCAGATGTCGTGCAGATGGACTACTCAACAGACTTCCCTAAATTGCCTGAGGCTGCTCCAGCTGCTGCCAAAGTTTTAGGAGCATGGTCGAGGCCAGCTGTGGGAACTAAGACGATTGTCCATGTAAGGCTTGAACAGATTCATGGCGCCAGTAGTGGTAGTGGTTTCGCATATTTATACAAGTCGCTGTTTTCAGTCCTTCATCCTGGCCGCTGACGAACGTGCCAACAAGGTGAAAACTTTTGGAGGAAACACAAGTGAAGAACATAAGAAGTGCCAAGCAGTGGCTGCCGCTACAGGTGTTTATATAACCTTTCAATTCGTTCTTGCCACAAAGTGGTTAATTATTCATATTGAAAAATCAATTTCGCCTTCATCACAGGTACTCGCATTGAATTGAGTGAGTCGAAGGATGGCGCTTTGACCGTTGTGATCAAAGGACTTCGTAACAAAGTGGAGGATGCACGAGCTCGACTTGTTCGTGACTTGCAAACTCAAGCTAGCCGCGATTTGGACATTCCAAAGGATCATCACAGGAAACTCATAGGTTTGATCATTACCATTTTCATCAGAACTGTAATCGAAAATTGTCTGTGTTCAAGGCAAGGAAGGTTCCGCTCTGCGACAACTAGAGGCTGACACAAATTGTCGTATCACCATCCCTAGTAGGGACACACCATCACAGACTATCAAAATCGTTGGACCTCGCGAAGGTATCGAGAAGGCGGTTGCTTACATCAAGTCTGTCTCGGACAGAGAGGTGAGTTGTCGTTTTTTTCTTTTTAAAAAGGTAATGACATCGTTGAGGTATTGCACGCATCTCAGTGCAGGCGGTTATGTACGCACTTCTTTCTGTTACCACCTTTTCCACCCATTTTATATTATGGAAGTGCCCAAACCAAGGGCCTGAAAACTGTCAGGGCTGCAGTGCAAATTTTTCTCGCTTAGAGTGACATAACGTGCATTCCTAAACGGTAAGCATTGAGTCAAGAAATTTTTTCTGCGAATAGTTATCGCTCTCTCATCTCATCGACCTCAACCCAATCTTCCTTTTCTTTTTCATATCTCTCATTTCTCTCAAATTCTATACGAGGATTAGGGCGGTTACTTTTGTCATCAGCTTTCTGAAAACGGTATAATGCAGACGAGAACTCCACCCAACAAACTCCTTAAAGCCTATCCCTTCATTAGAACCCACAACATCATTAAATACATTAGCATCTAAATTGAAACCCTATATGGTAGAGGGTTACTCGTCAACTGAGACTCACAATGCATGCCAATTTTCATGAGGGGTCTCTCGTGACGATGTTACGGTTGCAGAGAAGCCATTAATTTCCCATGGGAAGAATGCAAGTGAGCGGGTTTTGAGATTGTACCCTGATCATTGAATATCAACTCTCGAAAGTAGCAGTAAAAGCGTGGTAAAGCTCGCGTAGTGGTATTATGTTTTTAGAGAATGCATAGGAACTATTGCTCTTCACAGCGCCTTTGAAACCACGTTCCGGTAAAAACTTCAAAACCCTCAGTATGTACTCTTCCCATTCCTGAACCTCAGCGGAATTCATCTAGCACTGGCTATAAGTGGTTGTGTTTTCGCTTTTTTTACGACGTTATAAAGAAGCAGCTTATGCTTGTGTGTAACTAAAACTGCAGTACAAGCTAATCACTGCAAACGATGTATGGGTTTATGGGAAGTTGTCACTAGGGCAGTGCTTGTACTCAGGTTTTGGGTGCTGGAAAATCCGAGATAAGGAAAACACGTTTGGCCAGGGGATTGGTGTATTGTGCTTTGCGTATATTATGAACGATACATGTCCCCATTGACACGTATCCTGTCCTTTTCGCGGATTCTCTGTTTTTGCAATCTATGATCCTCTCAAAACGCTGTGTATGAGCGCTGCGTAAAGTCTCAATGGCAGACCTTGACGAGATGAAATCAGTAAATGGAAACCCTGTAAAGAGCTTGCAAGATCTGGTTGTCTGTAATCCTTTTTCACATTGCTTTGTTTGTTGCTAGCTCGCTGCAAAATACTGTTTCAGTCGAAGTTAGCGACGGAACACATAGTTTGCCCTCGCATCTTCTATCCATTCGTTCGTGGACCATTCAATGAAACCTACGACAGTCTTACGCAAGAAACAGGTGCTAAGATCAACATTCCACCGAGTCAAGCTAATAATGAGGTAATCTTACATTCATTATTTTGTTCACCTTTTTTGTCAAAACATCGACTTTTCAGGTGATTGTCATTACTGGAGAGAAGGAAGGCGTGCACAAAGCTGCTGCAGTTATCCGCGGCATCGTTGCAGATAAGGTCAACAATTCTTTAGAGCGTCATTTTCTGTTCACTGGTGCGTTAGTGCTGCTCATTGCTTACACAAAGTGTTTTAGCAGGCTACGGTGAAGTCGGTGACGTGCACAGTTGCACGTGCTCAACATCGCTTTATCGTGGGACAGCAGCGATGCGGTCTCCACACCATTCTCAAGGAAACTGGCGTTTCTGTTGAGGTATGTATAGAGTCTTTCATGAGTACTATAAGCTCTGAACTGCGCCCTTGTACACAGCTGGCTTCAAGTAATGAATTTTCATGAGGTTTCTCTCAGGTCCCTAACGAGGATGAGAATTCCGACACGATCACTTTGAGAGGAGATCCAAGCAAGCTCGGCGAAGCCCTAGCACTGGTTTATCAGAGGGCTAGCTCTGTCATTACACAACAGTTGCCGGCACCTTCTTGGCTCCATAAGCATCTCATTGGCCCGAAGGGATCAACTCTCCAGGTTTGTAACCTCATTCGTTGTTTGTGGACGTCTTCCTTCTAGTATTCACTCATATTTTCGCATGGCTTCCCTAATGGGCAATGTTTTTATGATTTATCGACAGAATCGTGAAATTTAATTGCCGACATTAATATTTGAGTGTGTGAATTTTTGTGACATTTATTTATCTTTTTTTGGTGTAATTATGCTGATTACTTATAGTTTTGGACAGTTTATGTTTAGGGTCTCATACCTAATCGTGGAAAGGTCCAGATCGACTTTGAAGACTCTGGAAACATTTTCCTTGAAGGTGCTCCTGAAGAAGTTAAGGTACGGTTTATGTTTTGTTTGCAAGGTGGTAGTTATGTACCAGTGCTTGAAAATACTTGCTAAAATAGTAGATCAATCAATGATAAGAAGATAGCGATTGTATTTTAGGCCGCCTTTAATGTCCTCTCAGCGGAGGTTGCTCGTCTTGAAAAGGAAATGGCTATTGAGAAGGTCAAGGTTCACCCAAGTCTTCATAGACACGTTATCGGCAGAGGTGGTGCCCTGAGTAAGTTTTATCTCGCATGTCTTTTGCTTCGTCCCGTTGAAAGGCATAGTTGCTTTTAGTTTCGAAGATCAAGGATGAGACTGGTGTACAGATTTCCATTCCCAATGAGCAAACCAACTCGGATGAGATTGTCGTTGAGGGCAAGAAGGACGGTGTGAAGAAGGCTGTGGAAGAGATTCGCGCAATCGTATCCAAGATTGTGAGTGCTAATCTTTATGATTCATTGGTTCAAGTTCATACTGCGGTTATGGTCGAAATTTGTAGGAAAACGAGAAATCCAGAGATATCATCATCGAACAACGTCTTCACAAATTAATTATCGGAACGAAAGGCGAGAATATTGGAAAAATCCGTGAAGCTCATCCCAATGTTGTGAGTTTTCAAGGAGTTACTGCGATTTTACCTTTTATATTCGCCACGCTGAAGTAGTAATAAGGTTCTCTGTAGGTTCTATCTTTCCCCGATGTCAACAAGAAGTCTGATGTTATCAATATTCGTGGTGATAAGGCCGAAGTCGATAAGGTTTACAAGCAGCTACAGACGATTGCAAAAGAACTGGTGGGTACTTGATCATCTACTGCTGGTTCGGGAATAGATAGACATAATGAATGTCCTTATCCGCTTTAGATCGAAAGCAACTATCAGCAGACAGTCCCCATATTCAAGGAATTCCACAAGCATATCATCGGTAAAGGAGGAGCTACCATCAGAAAAATTCGCGAAGAAACCCAAACTCGCATTGATTTGCCGGAGGTATGTCTGTGCTTGCCCTTTAAATTCCGTTGAGTTGGAGGTATAGGTCAAGGATTCTACGTGGTTTGAGTTTTCAAGCGTGTGGATTTCGGAGCTACCTCTCTTTTGCTTATCGTTAGTACGAACATTCCTTATATGACGTCATAAGCGCCACTGGTATCATTTGTGATTTGGGCTGAGCTGAGCCTGTATTTTTTGTATTGCTATCACGAAGTATTTCTAGGGTGACTCTGGTGAGGAGCGCATTACTGTTACCGGAAAGAAGGCGAATGTGGAGAAGGCAATCGATCAGCTGAATAAGATTCAAAACGAACTTGTAAGTTTGAAGATTCACTCCGACCCTTTTCTGATGTTTCAATTTCACAATAACATGTTCAGGCAAACATTGAAACAGTCGAGGTGGATATTCCAGTGAAGGTGCAGTCTCGCCTTCTTGGTAATGGACGTCGTCTCATTTCTGACATCGAGGAAGAGTGCGGTGGAGTTCACATCAAATTCCCAGCGGAGAAGAGCGAGAGCACTAAGGTTAGATATACCCTTAGTCATTTTGGTCTTAAACATATTGTCCACTTTATGCTGACACCATAAACTGCGGTTTATAAACTGTTCTATGGTTTGCAGGTAACGATACGTGGCCCGAAGGGTGACGTAGAGAAAGCACGGAAACTTCTTACCGACTTAGCCAAGGATAAGGAAATCAACTTACACGAAGACACAGTCGTTGCTAAACCCGAGTTCCACCGCTTCTTGATTGGAAAGGGCGGTACCAAGATTAATAAGGTGAGCTTGGTGTCCAAATCGTGTTTGAAATTCTTTCTATATTTTTTTAACACTTACCACATTCAAGATTCGCGAACATTACGATGTACGGGTCATGTTCCCAAGAGAGACGGATGAAGACAAGGAAACTATTCACTTACTAGGTAAAAAGGAAGATGTATTGAAGGTGAAGAAGGAATTGGAAGAGAATGTTAAACAACTCAATGAGACCATCGAAGCCACGGTACGGAATTAAGTACTTTTGTTTAGTTTTCTACTTTTCTTAACGCAGATTTTCAGATCGAGGTTGACACTAAACATCACAGACACTTTGTTATGCGGGGAGCTGCCGTTTTGCGAGAAATTCAGGAACAAAATGGTGGTGTAACAATATCTTTCCCCAAGGTGCGTGTTTCACGAATTTAACGTCCTTTCTTTTTAATTTAGATGGTCATGTTAAAAAATTTCTAAATAGTTATAAAATTTTGATGAATTTTTGATAAAGTGTGGAGTTTCAGATGGGTACCGATTCCACAACAGTTCACATCAAGGGCTCAAAACAATGCGTTGAATCGGCTAAAGCTCGAATTGAGGAAATTGTGGAAGACATTGTAGGTTTCTACTTTGAGCATTTCTTATATGGCCCCTAATGTCGCTTAATGTAGGAAAAACAAGTCAACATGCAAGTGGAGATTCCATCGCAATTCCATCGAGCTCTTCTGGTCAATCGTGGACAAAAAATTCATGATCTTCAGTCAAAGCACGGCGTTCTCATCCGCTTCCCCGATCGCCGAGCAGGTATGTAAAGCGCATATTCCTTTTTAGTAATCTGAAAAAGGCTGGATACACGGTCCATGCTACTTTCAGAAGGTTCCGAGGACGCTGACTCGCATGCAGCGGATATGGTAACCATATCTGGTCGCGACACGAAGTGCGAAGCGGCAAAGATTGAACTTTTGTCTATGGTTCCAGTATCAAAAGTCATTAACGTGCCTATCGAGATGCATAGAGGTCTGATCGGACGTGGAGGAGAGACGGTAGCTTTATGTTCACATAGAGAACTAGCAAATTTATTCTTTAGCCTTTTTCTCGGCATTAAATGGCTCTTTCTTAGGTACGAAAACTCATGCAAGACTTTGACGTCAACATCTCTATTCCGAAAAATAACGAGAGTGATGAAATCACTGTAACTGGTCCATCGGAGAACGTCGAAGAAGCGCTAGAAAAGATCAGGGAAAAGATTGCTGAGTTTGAAGCTCAAGCTGAAGATAGGGTAAGTGAGAGGATTCCAGGATCCCCTCTTTCACCGGAGTTTTCCCACTGAAGTTTATACGTTTTCAGAAGCTGCGTTCCTTCCAACTAGTGATCGATGTCCCTGCCGAATATCACCAACGCGTGATCGGTCCTAAAGGAGCCACAGTGAATGCACTCAGGGCTAAGCATGACGTTCAAATCAGCCTGCCGCGCGGGGACGACAAATCCGATCAGATTACCATCCAAGGTAAACAAGTAGTTTTCTGGTCGAGTAATTATTTTCAGTCATGAAAAGACATTATATTCATAGGGAGGTGATAATTGAGATAATTATAAGCGAAAAGTGTTGAAATATGTTGCAAAAATACTAGGAAATCTAACCCTGTATTCAAGGCTACGAGGCTGCGGCACGTGCGTGTGCGGCGGAAATTGACGAGATGATTGAAGAGATTCGCTCCATGTTCACGCAGGAGGTATCCATCGATGCAGGATTCCATCCTCGTATGATCGGTGTTCGTGGAAAAAATCTCAAGAAGGTATGGTCACTGAAATGATATTTGCTACTCGGATCTGATTCTGGTTTGTTGTAGCTGATGGAAGACTACGGAGTGGAAATCCGCTTCCCTCGTGATGCAGCTGATCCAAACCTCGTCATCATCGCTGGCAAAAGCGAAGATGCTGTGTATGACTGTATCGATCATCTGAGAATTGAGGAGGAAGAATACCTCGCTGATCACATCGATAGGGTTCGTTTTTTTCCCAAAGAATTTCGCGCGACACTTATGCCCGTGCATGTCGACAGTTTGTGAGTAGGAGCATTTGTAAGCATTTGTTCCGGCATTTTGCGGTATGGTCCAAATTTTCGGCTTAGATGGCTACTCCTCGCCTTTCTACCCCTCGTCCCAGTCGTTCCGTGGGCGTTTCACTGTCATCGTTGCAAATAACTGCTGTTTTAATTACCTACATTCTCGTTGGCAGCATCTGCATTTACTCAAGGATGAGACCCTACCGCAACAAATAACCCTCACAGTGACGTAATGTTGATGCAAAGCTGGGATAATTCACTGCAGTCGCGATCGATTATAGATAGTTACCAACTACGATATATCTCGATAAAAGTAAACACAGTAGGTTAAAAAATTATCGATAAAAAATCGCGATACGGTTGATGTTGACAGGCGCAATTTTGATCAGTAAAGGTAGCATGCTAATGTGGGTTGCCGGTTCGAATCCCGCCTGGGGCCAAGGATTTGCTTATAAGTTAGCATCCTGTGAAATTTTCGAAGTGCTAATTAGCCGTCAAACAGCATGAACAATTGAAGCTAGTGCTATGCACTCTCGCTGCCAGCGGCGGTCCAATTGCAGCGCTAAAAGTGAACATACCCGTGAAAATAGCCATTGTTTTTTTTCAGAATCAGTTCATTTCTACGCGCGTGCAAGAGCAGCCGAAAACGAACAAGCCGATCCAGATGAACAACGCTCCATGGCAGCTGGATATCGGAAGTGCTGAGCACTTCCCAGACATGGGTTCTTCCACTCCATCACATGCAGGCGTGGGCGGTGCATGGGGAAGCGCGCGTCGCTGGTGAGCAGAAATTGCTGGCATTCGCCGCTGATGGATTTGACCGACACATGACACCCTTACTAGAAATAATTATCTGCCTGCTAAATACATATTTTATACTCCACTTATAGCTCGATATTTTCCTTTCACCTGTTTTAGCTCAAAAGTCCCGAAATTTCTAATGGATATTTAGTACGTTTTATTGTTCACTGTTCTGTTTTAAGTGCCTTTTACATGAGTGTAGATCGATTTATAACGGGATGTTTCAATCTAGTACTGTGACTTTCAATTATTTATTCATTGTGATCAGATATTTATTGTCTTGGTTACGTCTATTCCGGAATGGTTCCATAGTCGTTTTATAGAGGGATTTTGTGTGATAATAAATAGGTCAAATCTACTTATTTTTCTGGATTGGAGTTTCTGTGTTGGGATGTTCAGCACTGGTCGAAAGTATTACCGGAGCGGGTTTACAAGCACAAGTTCTTTCGGTTGATGAGTTCCCCTTAGATTTTGGTATCTAACGTCTTTTAATTTTTTTCTTGCATTCCCTGGTTTTTAGAAGAAAGGGCTAAAGTACAAAGCTTCGAGTTCTATGTATCTCTAGGTTTTCTCTCAAGAGTAAAAGTAGTGCGAAGAAAACCGTTCCGGAAAATTTTTTGACAGCTACTGTCACACATGCTGTTTCGTGTGACAACACATGTCGCAATTGCGGACTAGATAGCACCATGCCGACGGCTCAAAAGTGATAACACGTTTCCCTTCGAGGTTTCTGAAGCTCTTCAAGATATGTGATTCCTTAGAAGTGCCTGAAGAAGACATCGAAACAACACTAATAAATATCTTGAGCCTTAATCAAGAGCTTGAAGTTATCGCATTTTAAAGTAGGGATATAGTTCGTCGTGAGAAGAAAATGTATTCCTACTTCATAATGTGAGCATCGATCTAAACATTACTATACTGGGGTATAGTAATATGTTAACTCGTTGGTGGACGACTTGAGCGCGGGCAGATGCTTACACTTTCTTGAGCGATTCGTGCAGTGACAACTGGCACAAAGGAAACCTATAGTAAAACACCAATGATTAAATAAAATGAGCCAGGGAGCAGGAATCCTCTACATTCATTCTCCTTTTCCCGTAGTAATCGTGGGTGTTGTGCTCATTTAAGTTTCGACATAGCTGGCGATTCATAGTGTGAATGCGGTGGGGGCGATGTCAAGGGCTTGCATATGATTATGGAAAAACCCCTCAGGATTGTTTTTTTTTTGCTACAATACTTCCATTGGCGGTGGCCTACTACGGTACTTGCCATGTAACTTCGAAAATTCGCGCTAAAACCGACCTCGCATTTCGTTTTTTCGTTATAACTCGCTTCAAATTAAGATTTTCGAAATCTGAAAAGAACCATTGAATTCAGCTCGTCGAGTTCTATAAGAATGTGCTTTAAATTTTTGGAAAGCCCCACTTCAGATTGCGCCATGCACTCGAGCTTTGGCTCGAGAAAAAATTGTTTGAATGTGGTGCGCATATAATCCCGCTTATGCATCATGATCGTTCTTCAGAGAGATGGGTCTCAGCAGTTGCCCCAGAACGCGCCACGTATTCAACATCGTCCATTGCATTGTGAATTGATCGATTACTTTTTTCCAAATTTCATGATCCCGTATTTCATTTTGACACGCTGAATGACTTAAACATGTAGTCCCTGCGCTCAACTTCTCCTTCTCTCGCGCTTAATTGAAATCCTAGATCATTTGGTGAAATTTTACATTTAAAGGAGGATTGCACGGAAAGAACGAAGGTCGAAGAAGGGAGAAATCGCCTAGTGGGGAGAGCGGTGAATCTCTTGAGGGTGCGGACAGACACGCAATCGGCATCGAAAGATTTGACCTCTGAGATCTAGCATGGCTCAAAGTTGGCGAGTTCGGCGATCTCCGCCCACCGATCGTCTGATCACTCGCCGTAGTTCAATACGTGGCGAGTGATTAGATAGCTGAGAGAGCGTAGTGTTGAAGAGGGCACAGCGATGAGAGTCGCATCAATGCTCAAATCAACGGACAAGGAAGGGGTCCCATTTCTCGGGTTCTGGGCCGTTTTTCGTGGTTTCGCTTTCTTTCTGGTACTACTCACCATCTCTACCTCAATTTGGAATGGGTTGCTTTTCCATCGTAAATTCGTCCTTTAAAGAAGGTTTACGCCGAATTCTGAGGAGGAGCGACAAAATCTCTTCATGTTGTAGAGTACGCTTACTTGTGTGTAGAAATAAGATGACATACTTGCTTGTAGACGAGCGCTTCCGCCGTGCTGTGGCTGTGAACATGCCTCCTCGTCATGCCCTTGTGAAAAGATCTGATTCGCTACCTCCTCAGATTTCGGAAAAACCTTCGCTCAAACATTGGAAAATTTCACCAAATAGGCTAACTGTCCAGCCGAGAATTGATCTATGATTTCCATTTGAACACGAGAGGAGGAGATGTTGAGCGCAGGGACTACGTGTTAAGTCATTTAACGCGCCATGGAATAGGGACCATGAAATCTGGAAAAAAGCAATCGATCCATTCACAATACAATGGACGATGTTGAATACGCGGCGCGTTCTGGGGCAACTGCTGAGACCCATCTCTCTGAAGAACGATCATGATGCATAAGCGGGATTATATGCGCACCACATTCAAACAATTTTTTCTCGAGCCAAAGCTCGAGTGCATGGCGCAATCTGACAATGGGTCTTCAGATCCTGAAAGAAAAATTAATTTTGAACCGAGTTATAATGAGAAAACGAAAAAAACGCGAGATCGTGTTTTTCGCGTGAATTTTCGAAGTATATGGCGAGTACCGCACTCTATGTACCGTGAGAGCTCGCTGATGAGCGAAAGCTAGAAGAACCTTTGCTGCCACCTACCCCTCTTCCTCCTTCCCCCTCCGCGTATGTAAGATGAAAGGCGCATAGAAAGTGCTGAGTATGCCTTGGGCAATTTTTCGGTGATCCCTACCGCTTTTTGAAAACATGCTCTCCGAATGATTTGGTACTTGAGTGTGGAGAGCACAGACAGGACATCCGTTCCGTTCCTCTAGGCAATATGCTGACCTAGCTACCCTCTGCTTCAAAAAACTGAAGCGCGTCGAGTGCAGACCACACACCACAAGTGACGACGGCCTTCACAAAATGTAATGTTTTCAATGAAATGATTAGCCTGTTGCAGTTGTATTCTATCAGTTGTCACTAATTACAACTATCATTTACCAACTATCAGCTATCACTATGAATCACTAGTAACCAGATTTACTTGGAGGCCGTCGTCACTTGTGGTGTGTGGTCTGCACTGGACGCGTTTCTGGTTTTTTGAAACAGGGGATAACTCGTCAGCGCCAATATTATTGACATCAAACCTGACCAAGATAAGCATCTAGCTTTTTTGTGCTAACTGGAAATATGGTACCGAACAACTGCAAGACTAAAAACTTCATGATTCAGTTCAAGAGGTAGCGGCAGGTTAGTTCTTTGCTGAAGGACTTCACTTCTCCTGCTGCCTGGGAATAGTTTATCAATGGCCCTTTATGTCCAAGTACGGAACTACTGATTGTAAAAAGTCATATCTTTCACATTTGCTGGTAAAAACACGTGAAATCAAGGGTGAAAAGATGAAGCATTTGACGTTGTGTTTGTTTTTGGGATGCGCCACGTATTGGGTTGTCTCATAATTCCTGTCGCATTTCTATTCAATTTCAAATTCTCTTCCGTCTAAGACCGTTTCATTGCGAAATACGTATGTTGAAGTATGCTTCAAGAGCCTTAACAGCATGGTTTCGGAAACGCAAGCCCGTAATGGGTTAATCAACTAGGAATAAAAATAGGTCAGTGACTATAATGAATGATTATGCTTTACGATCCTCAAATGAACTCTGTAGCAAGGAGGACAACAGAGAAGATCAGCGCTGTGTTTGACCCAGTCTCTGCTACTGATAGGGTACTGAGCTAGTGGTCCAATCGCAACGGCAAAGACGAAACGAGCTATGAACTTCAACCTCATACTGGGCCTGCGGTCATTTTTGATGAGCGCCCCTTGCACCCTAAATTGGGAGTGCCTCCGACGTTGCTACCAGGGTATTGTAGCAGATACCTGAGCGCAGCCGATGCACCAGCACACGCCATCAGTATGGCAAGGACTGCTGCAGAATGAAGTTTTGATGGAAACCTTATGGTCCGGCCGACCATGAGCGAGAAGCACGCCTGACCATCTGGGGAAAATCCATTCTGGGACGGCAAAAGCAGAGCCTTCCCTAATCGGTCACCAGTGGAGATGAGTCATGAGTCCACTGCGACAACAACATGCGGCACGTCTGATGGCTACCTCGCAGCCAGGAAGCACCAGCTCAACCAAAGCCCGAACTCCGTTTTCTGAGAATATCGCTCTCGTTTTGTTGGATTCGCTAGGTGGCCTGGTTTGGGAACCACTTCAATGTATGAAGACAAGCATTGCTAAAGTCAGCGCGGAATAGCCCTCTAGGCTGGCTTCGGGGTTGCGAGGGAATCGTCAGAAACGTCTCAGATCTCCTTTCTCCGAATGTACGCCAGACCTCACATTGCAATGCCAACTCACCACGTTCTGAGGGAGATAGCCAGGGCCACGATACCTCATCCACCATATAGCATTGGCATCGCTCTATCGGACTATCGCCTCCCCTGCGCCCTGAATAAGCATCTGCCAGAGAAGAAAGTTAAAGATTGCGACCACCCCAAAAACGACTTCTCCAAATTCTTCAACCCCCAGCTTCCTTCATTCTGGGCTGGAAGCTTCCAAACGCTCACTAGCAAATGCACGCATATCAGTGACCATGATGGTGGTTATGCTATTGATCAGTTGTTTCCTAGAAGAGATAAAACTTGGATAAACAAAAGTGTCGAAATTGCGACAGGAATTATGAGACAACCCAATATAATAGCATAATAGTTGTAAGGGAATCTGATCTAATAAAGTAATCTAATCATCGGTCTCTCTCGAAAAAAAAATTTCGCTGACGG